TTAACCCAACGCGACCGCATCTCAAAACGAAAGTGTAGGAACAGTGGGTAATCCACGTGTGTATTGTCGAGAGAGAGAGAGAGAGGCAGTCAGTCATCGGGCGAAGAAACGTCTCGGGGCACGGACTTGGAACAGCGGCAGGGAGTTGACAGCACGTGTGGCTGGGGAGGAGGAGCGAAGGGAGTACCAGAGACTTTGAACATCAGCGTCAGCCGTCTAAGGGAGGGGGCCCTCTCTAAGCGATCGCCATTTCTCGCGGTCGTGCAATGCCACGATTTCCGAGAATGACGTCGATCGGGAAAATCAAGACTTAAAGAGAAAAGAGGTGGAGGGGAAACAACATTAATCATCGTAGACTTTTGAGCTTAAAAAAAGAATTATGAGGACCAATTAGAATTAACGACAGGAAATTATAAAGCAGTCCATGAGATAATGCTACAATGTGGGGTGGGGGGGGCAGAAACTCATGGTAAATGAGCAAAACAAAAGTCTGCTTCTCGAGCCACGTGTTCTTCACTCATTAAAAAAGGGGGAGGGGGCAATTTCCTCTGTAAAACATCATCAGTGTGAAGTCCGCCACACATTTGGAAACTATTGGGGTCTTGGACAGCATGATTTTGGGGTATTTTCACGTGGTGTGCATTGCCAGAGGCCGCCAGTAACCCGCGCGCCTTGCTCTCGAGTCGTGCCAATCAGTCTCTGGCACTCGCCCTCCCCCTTGACGTTCCATCCTCCCTCCCCTGCACCCCCTCTGGCGTTTTGACAATTCCGCCCCCGACCCCCCCCCTACCCCCCCCGGTTTTACGCCTTGCTTGGCTCTCCGTGTTGGTGTCCCGAACTCGCTTCCCATGCAAAATGCAATGTTTTGCAAGCACGCGGAAATGTGGCGTGGCACTCATCAAAGATGCAGACGGATGATTTCACTTGCCTCTGCAAACACATATAGAGACAAAACATCCCCCTATAGCCTCAACAGACTGTTGGGGCAAGTGCTGTTAGGGAGCGACACCTATGAAGGCCGGCACGGCACATGACGGCGTGGGTGGTCAACACCACGCCCGGTAGTAACCTTTGCCTACCAAGTGACGATTTTGTACACGTCCGCGCCAGGTACTCATTTGAGGCTGAGTCGACCTAGGGGAGGCGCAGGACCTGTTCAGATAATCGCCACTGGCGTTGACCGTGAGAGGGAATCGAACTCGGGTCTCCGGGTTCTTTGCCACCGCTCACCCCAACACGGATACACACGCACTGCTCATCATCATCATCCTCCTCCGTGTAACCTGTCAAATAATGCCCCCCTCCCCTATACCACTACCAATGAGAGGATCCCTGTGTCGTGAGTCTAGACTTGAAGAGGACCCTGCCATGCAATGTTTAGGCAGCTCAGCGGTGGAGCAAGCAGCTCACAACCGGAAGACCTCGAGTTCACATCCTGCTTGGGGTGAATTGACGCAGCACATCATCCGTTCCCGGGGTCGATAAAACAGGCACCACATTTTTGGTGTGGAAATCAACAGCGGTTGTCCAATGGATCGACTCGCACCACTCACACCTCCGGCGATATGAATGTGGAATTGCCACCGCTCGCTCGATTAAATATAAACTCGCTTGAACTGTGTTTAGTCCGGGGCTGCGCATCGATCAGTCACAGGCAGGAGAGGGTGAGCTTTCATTTCATTTATTTGGTATAGCCCTGTGAGCCATTCGGCTTTTGAATCGGGTGCAACCGCAACAAACAAAAACATGAACAAGAAACATCTTCATCTTCTTGGTTCTTTCGGTAAAGTCACGTAGAAGGGAAATATTAAAATAATAAAAATAAAACATAATAAAATAAAATATTTTATCATGTTAAATTTATATTTTTTTATTATTTTATTATTTCCCTTCTACGTGACTTTACCGAAAGAACCAAGAAGATGAATCCCTGCAGTCACGAAAGTTTTGCATCGAAAAAGAAGCATCTTCAAGTGACTACGAGTGAGTGAGTGAACGTGTGACAGATTGCGTTATGTGAGGCGCGTCTGGGCATCGCCAGCAGAATGGATGATGTGGCGTTGTTGGCGTTAGTGTCCGCTAACCAACGCGTAACCATGCATCCCTTTGTCCCCATGATTCCGTGATGTGGCTCAAGTTCGAACTGCCTATCTTATACACTGCGAAGGGCCGTATCGTGTACACAACAACCGCCATTCCCCACTAAGTAGCGGTGACGTCTCCACGACGCTTGTGCCAGGCTATGTGCACCTTGAGGCCACGTGTACTAACGAACACACACACGCGGCTGTGAAAGCAGCCATTGTTCATGCAAAGCGCGTTGTCGAGACTCCGAGTCGAGGGCTTTATGGTTGAGTCTCGACGTTTCGATTGGACAGCCTCCATCAAACAGATTCCACCATTACGCCAGAGTGTCTTTATCGAACCTGTAGCTTCTTGTACTTTGTTGTTACGGCCATGTGTCAATACACCGCTGGATGAAGTCCCTCCCCCACCCGACTCCAACGCTGTGTCGATCATGGGGTTTATTTGACCATACTTCACCGCGCTGGTCAGTGCGTGTTTGTGAAGGGTGGAAGGTGCCCGCCCAATGGGTGGGAGGAGCCCAGGGCAGGTGAGATTATCACTCGCCACTGATGTTGTAGCCATGGCCAGCACTCGAACTTATGTCGCGGTATTCAAGGAGTACGCGCGTGCTCACCTCTGCGCTGCCGCATTATATCGGGATATCATGTTACCTGTACAACTTTAGAATTAAAACTCGTGTTCCGTCTGTATCATTATACACTGCTTGTTAGCTGTCACGCAATATCAAGCTTTATGTCCGTATAAGAGACGCGGTTATTTTGTTACAATTCATGTATGTGTATGTGTCAAAACGTCATTGAACATCATTTAGTACGACTGTAATTGTTTACAGTACATTAGCTAACGCAGCCCTGAATACGCTAACAGGAAAATTATTTTAAACATCACTTAATTAGGCAATAGTCAATTGGAAACTGAACATCAATCCACTCCAACGTGATGTTCTGTAACTATTCTGTACGACATTATTGGTATCTTGTCATCAAAGATTATTTTAAACTTTACAATTACGATAAGTGACTTTCACTATCGACCTAATTTATTGTGATTATACAAAACCACGTCGCTTAACGTGGCCACCTATCGTGCACAGAACCGCATAGATTCAGGGCCACGTAAACCGAACACTTTTCTAAACATTGAGCATCATTTTTATTGGCAAACACTACTCACAAATAATACGCACACACGAACATCGGCCAAGCATCACAACGCACGATCCTCATGAATAAGAGTCTTGAGGCTCAGCTCGTCTCTCTCCGATAAATACAATGACGCATCTATCGTGTATTCTCTGTATTATAAGACCCACGTGTTCCGCTGCACATGAATTGTAAAGTAAACGTTGTAGATGCGTCTTATAATCCGGTAGGTGTGTGTGTATGACCAAATCTGCCCAATAAGACGCTCCCAAAACACACAAGGAATTGTAATAGTAATAGGTTTTTACCCTTTTATCTGGCACCAAAACTGGCACCTTTATACAAGGGATCATATTTGCAATAATAACCACAACACAAGCAGTCAAAATGCAAACAAAAAGAGACAACTCTGATAATGATATGCACTGTCCTTGAAATTGATTGGTCCACACCCGAGACGGCTTTTCTTAGAGCCTAGTCTCCACTGGTGTTGGACCAGATGACGCCAAAACACACAAGAAATTGGTTGGTCATACTACGTTTTTGGGAGCATCTTGCTTTCCGGAGCGACTTACGATCCGGAAAACACGCGGTAATCACCATTAATAAGGGGGGGGGGGGTGTGCAATGCCCGCGTTAGTGGCAGTCGTGTATTCAAGCAACAGTTTAAATCTACCTCTTTCCAACACCGCGTCCCATATGAACACGTGGCAGTGTCACCCTGCGGAGTTGCTCCGAGACTCTGCGGCACACTGCTCCGCATCTCCAGCGAGCGTTGGCCGCTTCTGCTCGCCTTGCTGGTTCGACTCCCGTTACGAGCCCTGCCTTGTTGTTTGGTCCCACCAGTGCAGTTGTGGTTGGGACTCGCATCCACCCCAGAGGTGAAGAGGTTCACTCCCTCGAACTCCCCACCCGCTGGGTATAAGTATACGCAATATATATCTGTATGCAATATACACACGGTCATTTGAGTTCGCGGTGCATTCCCAGCGGCTTTATATCCATCCCGATATTTTCTTGAACGCTACCAAACTGGCTTAGAGCAGCGATTGTCGACGGAAAGCACTACCACTGGAGTACAAAGTACAGCCCACCTTGAGTCATCTGATATTATTGTATTGTACCCTATATTCCTATCATCCTGCGAACAGGTGCAACATCGGATGCATGGACTCACCGAGACGGATGGGGCTGGGTGCCGAAATAATTCCCGTGAACAGCGTTCGGTGACTCAGCGCTGCGCACAGCTCCGCATCTGGGTCGTGGTGTCGCAATGTTGAGCAGCAGCACGCAGCAGCACACAGCAGCAGCACGCAGCAGCAGCACGCAGCAGCACACACAGCAGCACGCAGCAGCACGCAGCAGCACACACAGCAGCACGCAGCAGCAGCACGCAGCAGCACGCAGCAGCACACACAGCAGCACACACAGCAGCACGCAGCAGCACACACAGCAGCACGCAGCAGCACGCAGCAGCAGCACGCAGCAGCACACACAGCAGCACGCAGCAGCACGCAGCAGCACACAGCAGCAGCACAAGCAGCAGCACGCAGCAGCACACACAGCAGCACACAGCAGCAGCACGCAGCAGCAGCACGCAGCAGCACACACAAGCACACACTTGAACACACAGCAGCAGCACACAACAGCACACAGCAGCACGCAGCAGCACACACAGCAGCACACACAGCAGCATCACGCAGCAGCACACACAGCAGCACGCAGCAGCATCACGCAGCAGCACACACAGCAGCATCACGCAGCAGCACACACAGCAGCACGCAGCAGCAGCACGCAGCAGCACACACAGCAGCATCACGCAGCAGCACGCAGCAGCGCTTTTGCAGACACCACGGGTCACTGCGGTGTGTCGGAGTGCGCGCGCGCGTGCACATGAGTGAGCGTCTTTGCGGGGAGCGGTGGTGCAGCGGTTTGCGCTACGCACCGCTACGAACCCGGCGACTCAGCCTCAGATGAGTACCTAGTGCGGCGTGTAAACATCGCCACGAGGGAGACAAAGGCGGCCAGGCGTGATGCTGGCCATCCACCCCCTCGTGTGCCGTGCCGGCCTCTTCATAGGTGCTCGCTAACAGCACTTGCCCCTACAGTCTTGTTGAGGCTACGCGCGGAATCGTTTTGCATTTTCAGCGTCCGTGCGTGTTTATAAAAACGCATGGGCTGGCTGTCAATGCACGACAGTAAGATGTAAGTCGACCATGTGAGTGCACACAGCACGTACAATGTACAGCCGTCTGTCAATCTTCTGCTCGATGAAGGCCTCCACAAGCCGTGTCGTTCCTGCGGATTGTTTCGCCATCCTTCCACGCTGGCCAGTGCTGGTTGGCGAAGATGATGGTGTCCCAGGCAGTCGATCGCCACTGACGATGCCGCTGTAGCCTTGAGCGGTAATTACCGCTGAGTGGACCTAGGGGAGGCCCGGGACCGGTGCAGATAATCGTCACTGTTGGTGGCCATGAGCGGGAATTGAACTTGGGTCGCTGGGTTTGTAGCGCAGTGCACTAACCACTGCGCCACCGCTCCTCACACACACAAACACACACGCACACAGTGTAAGTGTCGAATGTGTTGATGGTTTTGTTGCTCTTAGTTGTGCTTGTGCACCACCACCAAAGCAGAATCATCGCAGATGTTACATTACCCAATACCGTGCATTCCACTACCGTCAGGGAGACCTGAATTGAATGAGTATACAGGACAAGAACATTCTTCATAATATATAAATTATTAATAATAATACGTGTTATCATTATCATATCTCTGTAGACTATAAAATGGCAGAGGGATTCGCTCCTTTGTCAACTGGCTCCAGCGTTTCACCGCACGATAGGCGAGTTACTTGGTTCACTGATGATGACGATGATGTTCAAACTCGTTCGTTTCTTCAGCAAGACGAGACTGGCAGTGGTTTAAGAAGTTTAGACGAACCTTGTGAGTCGAATGAATGAGTACACGTTCACCGTGGCCAATGTGTCAAACCATACATTTCTTTAGTTTGTAAATCGTTGTAATGTGAAGTCGCGCTAAGTGTTCTGTTATCAGGAGTGACGAGTCAGTGCGGGTCTCTGTGTGGATATCCGTAGCGGCCCCGACCTCCAATCTCCACCTATCAAGGGCACTTTGATCGCGTATTTTCACCGTGTTTCTTCGTAGACCTGCTATAGCCACCAGCCTTTGTCTGCTTTACATCGCCATTGGCGTCATACTCAACGGGAGACGAATCTACTCGGTTCTTAAAGTGATCTCGTTAAGTGCTTACCACGGAACAAACACAGACTTTAGAAGCAGGTGTTGATCTTCCTTTCGGAGTAAATCTAATTAATATTTTTTTTTGGGGGGGGGGGGTCAATTTCCAACTGTAGGTTTTGGTATTTTAAGAATACTTAATAGCATGAGCCAGGCTTAACGTTTAAAACACATGTCAGCTCTCTAACGCTTCTAGAACATTTTACATCACTCAGTCACGATCTCCTTTCTGTATGCGAGAAGCACTTTCTCGCGAGTTTATCCAGAAAGTCCGCATGTCGATTCAAAACTTCGCTTCGCGGCAGCCTCGTTTCGCGCATTAATCTTGTGCCGACCAATTGTTGTTTTGTATTTTTTGTTATTCTCAATGAAGAGAATTATTAAAAGATGAACGAGCGCATCGAGCGGTGTTACCACATTGCCTGTCGGACAACGAACCTCAGAAGGCGACGTGCCAGAAACAACTTTGTTAAACCTTCCTCTGTATAAAACTCCTTGTTCATGCACTGCCATCGGCGTTCGTCGCGTGGCAATCAATCTGAGATTTTAATAGTCGCAGCCGGATAAGCCCAAATCAATTAAACAAATAGACCACATTGTAATGCGTGCGCTTGTGTAATCATTCAACCAATAAACTCGATTGATTTAAGAACCCGGCTTAACCCAGGGCATCTTTGAAACCCAGATTTGAACCCAGAATCTCAGCGGTGGCCGCCTTCAACCCCCAAGCAAACCCAAGCCGGTCCCACTTCTGGAAAGGAAATTTATTTAACGCCTTCAATAATAAAAAAAACAACACATTAAGGTCTCACTCCAATTGCCTAATCAACGTGTAACGATGACTCCGTCGGCGTTAATTGCCGCCCCACAGGTGAACATCATGGGGCTCATATCGCTAAGAGTCCCGAGTAAAAGAAAGGAGGGCACCACTACAATCATCTCGCATCTCGACTGCTCCCACAGGTCACGGCTGGCCTCGTGTGCCATCGGTAAATACAATGCGGTCATAATATCACTGGCAGAGACTTTTTTTTTGTGTGGCCGCAGCTTAGATCCGGATATACGAGATAGATTAGCGCACGCATGCCCGCAGTCATTTGTCGCAGGATTACAATCAAGGGTTTTGTTTTTGTAATTATTAAACGAGAGGGCATGTCCTGCTACAGACGGGGTTATCTTCATTCTTTGTTTTTTTCGGTAAAGTCACGTATAAAAATAAAATAATAAATTAAATAATAGCATACGACGTTTCGATTGCAACACAAGCAATCATCATCAGGTATAATGAAATAGCGACATAGAATATAACCAGAAAACTATAGACAGACATATAAGCAGACAGATATCACCAAGATACATAGAGAGAGGAACCCAGGTACAGAGAGAGGTGATCGTCTCTGTGGGGTGGCCTTAAATAGACAGAGGGGGGCGGAGGCAGAGAGAGGGAGGGGGTAGGGAAAACATTTACATTTACATGTCAATAACCATATACATTGTTATGTTTTCCCTACCCCCTCCCTCTCTCTGCCTCCGCCCCCCTCTGTCTATTTAAGGCCACCCCACAGAGACGATCACCTCTCTCTGTACCTGGGTTGCTCTCTCTATGTATCTTGGTGATATCTGTCTGCTTATATGTCTGTCTATAGTTTTCTGGTTATATTCTATGTCGCTATTTCATTATACCTGATGATGATTGCTTGTGTTGCAATCGAAACGTCGTATGCTATTATTTAATTTATTATTTTATTTTTATACGTGACTTTACCGAAAAAACCAAAGAATAATTCTTGCAGTCACGAAAGCTCCAAAATTAAGATTGGGGTTATCTTCAGTTTAATATTCTTCATAATATAGGTTTTTGGGTTTAGATCGCATTATTTATAAATGTGTCGTAACCCTCCACCAGCCGACACAGCCAAACAGTAAAACATGTGCTGATTGGCCGTGTCGGGTGGTGGAGAGTTATCTTCACCATTGGATCCATCCCTCGTCTGCTGACGACTCTCAAACACTCCCCACACACTCCCCACACACTCACCACACACTCACCACACACACGACTCTCTCCTAACACTCAGAAGTTTATCGACCCCCCAACACCACGACACGAATGCACCGCACCACGACATTGCACGACTCCACCACGCCACCACACTGCATCACAACACTAAAGCACACCCCTGAAATATACAATACATCCTTACACTACATCACCAAAGTACATGTATACACTACCACACCGTTTCTTCACGGAACTTTTGAACACTTTACCACACAACTATCAACTTCACTGTTATACTTACTCACTTGTTTCACACTCATTCACCCATTCCTTCATCATTTACTTATGCATCTCTCACACAATCATGCCTCTCATTCATTCTCACCCATTCTCACCATTCCTCCCTCGCTTAAACCTCTCCATCCGTTCATTCACTCATTTATTCCTTCTCATCTACAGACGTTTTGTTCGGACGAACAGCAAAATATTTGATCTTGCTTTCAAGCTTTCGTGATTTTACATTGCACGTGAGGGATTTTAAGGGCCAGTTGGTGAATTTCACAACACATATAACATATGACAGTTGTGAGATTTAACCAAAACGTTATTGAGGAAAATGTCTATCATTCTTCCCTCATTCAATCACTTAATTGTATCCTTCATGCTAACCTCATTCACTAATACCTCTCATTCATTCTCACTCTTACCTCATTCAATCACTAATTTCTATTACTCATTCTCATTTAATTAAATCACTAATCCCTCTAATTATTACCTCGTGCACTAATAATCTTGTTCATTCTTTACTCATTCTATGAATCATTCCACCCAGCAGCTCTCACCAAGCTCCCTGATGCTCTCCTATGACTTCCTGGTCCAGCCGTTGCCTTGGACACCGTTGCTAGGGACACCGTTGCTAGGGACATCGTTGCTAGGGACACCGTTGCTAAGGACACCGTTGCCAGTGACGCCTGTCGCTAGGCCGACGGTTGGCCCTCGCTGACAAGCAAAGAGACATTTGATTTCCTAAAGCGCATAAGCTCGTTAGCGTCAAGGGGGATTTGAATTACGTAGTCCACATAACTCGGCAACGCGATGATTGTAGAATATTTTTTTTAAATCTTACACACCCTCAGACGAGGGGCTTTAAAACTATCCCAAAAATGTGTGCGAGTAGCTATATTTAAAAAAAAGTGGATTTGTATAACGTTTAAAAAAAAAGTAATGCAAACAAGCAGGGGGCTGGGATTTTACAAATATAGATAATTGTGTGAGTTCACTCCAAGTCAATGTATTATCCTTGCCTCTGTCTCCACTGTGATATAGAGGCAGTGCTTGCTTAATAATCATCTACAGCCTCGCTTCGGAGTCGGCTGGCTTGAAGGCGAGATAATCTAGGCAGGCTCCGAGTCCGGATAATCTGTATTAGGCGATACTTTTCACGAGAGCATAAGTTAAGCTTATCCAGAATAATCCTATAGTATTGTTTCCCCATATTCACATGATGGATGTGGCGTGCCAAATTAATCCCCCATAACTGAGTTCCGAACTGTTTGCGATTAAAATTAAGCGCTGTAAAGATGTCATTTTCTTATTCTGATTGGTTAGTTGGCGCTGTTATGAGACTTGAGATGGGTCCTGGTATGACCTCGTGAAAATTTACTCATTATATGAACGAATTGACTCATTCTAGATTTAATAATATTATCATGATATAATTCTAGATTTGAAGCTTTCGTGACTACAAGGATTCATACTCTTAGGTTTTTTCGGTAAAGTCACGTAGGTAAAAAAAAATGTAATAATAATAATAAAATAACATAATAAAATAAAATAATAATAAATGAAAATAACTCAATTAAATCACGACGCGATTTGACAGAGCCTTGTGTTGCTTCTGAAACGTCGTGATTTAATTTAGTTATTTTCATTTATTGTTTTATTATTATATTATTTTTACCTACGTGACTTTACCGAAAAAACCTAAGAACTAATTGACTCAATTTATACCTGACATTAAATAACGAATTGATCATCAGCTATGATCAATATATTGTCAAGCACTCGACATTATTTAAAATAACCAGGGCAGGCTCTGGAGGTATCGGGCTGGATGGATCAAGCAGCTCTGTGCAACCTCCTACCCCGCTTTGGAAGTG